CGGACTGTGCGTTTGTTGATGGTTGTTGCACAGTTGCAACATGTTGCGTGGAGCCGATGCCGAGGAGACTACATGGCATTGCGTGCTGATGCTTGAGGTTTGGAGCAGCGCACAAGTATCACGCGCACTGCTTTTGATTGGGCTTTGTCGTGTCCTTACTCTCGCTTTAAGAAGAGTCAAAAGTGGAGGGGCTTTATTCAAAAGTACTTCGTTTCTTTTAAGGTGGCGAACTGGGGGTTTTGGTTAGGCGTAGAGGTACTATGACTAAGGAGGATAGGGCGTCTCAAGCCACAAGTATGGCAGGGTGTTGCTACGACTCTGAGGAGTCGCCAGAGAGTCAACCGTTGCTGGTTTGACTTCTGGTTTGACCAAGCTGTTACAGTTTGGCCATCATTGCGGGGCCCTTAGGCGAGCCAAGATAACAAGACCGTCTCCCGCGAGTCTGAGTGTAACTCTCCTGTATCTGAGAGTCTCTACCTTCTATTTCTATCCTTTCTAAGTCTCAGTCTAGTCCTGGTTCTGAGAGGAAGGCGGCAGGCGGGACTGCAACCCGTAGGACCGCAGCAAGACTCTGAGCGGAGTCCACCCACCGATTGCGGGAGCTCTGCCGGAACCTATGCGGGGTTCTGAAAGCAGGGAACCTTCAGGTAAATCATCTTTATTTGTATAACCCACTACTACCCATTTTGCCTATCTCCGTGTAGTATGATTGCGGTATGCATGTGTTGTCCCTATGGTTTTTGCTTTCTCTTCAGGACTAACCAGATCAAAAGGAAAGAATGTGTGAGAGTGAAGTTTAAGTTTCATCTTTGTTTTGACAGAAAGCAGACCAAGGTATGAATTGGGGGAAGGTGGGAGGAAGACAGTTTTGCATGCGTTTGGAAGGGTCAACCAAAGCCGGAGCATTGTTTCAACTGTGAATGGCTCAGGGCTATGTTTATTTGGCTGTTTTCTGAAGGACCAGGCATTGTTTATACTGTGAATGACCTGGTTGCTATGTTTATTTAGTTGTTTTCTGGAGGACCAGGCATTGTTTCTACTGTGAATGACCTGTTTATTCTAGTTAACTCTGAGGGTTTGCCTGATAGGAGGGGTTTAAATTCTTGTTTATTCTGAGGGAGAATTTTTTGTCTCAGGCTAAGCATTGTTTCCATGGTGAATATTTCAGCCTGAAAACCACACACATAAATTAAACTCAGTACAAAGGAAAGTACTTTATGTATATTTGCATGTGAACTGGCAGCTGGGCATTGTTTCTACTGTGAATGATACAACGTTAAGTCATATCATTCAGAAGAGAAAAAAGAAAATACAAAGTATAAATGAAAATAGTTTGGGGAAGTTGAACATATTTTCTACTGTGAATGGTTTAGTCCCCCGCCCATATTTGCCTTTTCTTTTGAAAAGAAAGTCGAAGAAATACTAAATTTTTGGATATTAAACAACGCAGGGCGACTAGGTATTGTTTTCATGGCGAATGGCCTACTCGTCTGGCCAAAAGAAGAGAGAAGTAATTGTGCAACCTTTTCGTATATATCTTAAAGGCAAGCTGGGCATTGTTTCCATGGCGAATGGTCCAGCTCTATGTGTTATGTAAGAGGGAAATAAGGGTTCAATAACTCAAAAAGATTCACGAACTATCTATATAAAATAAACTTGGGCTGGTGAGAGTACTTACCTTTGTGGTTTGGTTTGCATGTGACTGAGTGAGGATACTACTTGGTCTAAGTTTCAGGTTGATAGGTAGTTGCTTTAGTTGCTCGCCACGTACTAGAGTCATAGGAGTTAGTGTCAATTTCTCCATTTTCTGTAATAATTTTTTTTACTTAGATAAATTCGTGCATTTTCTGAGATTTTTTCTTATACTTGGCTTTGTATAAATCTTGGCAAGCTACTTTTCCTACAGGAAGCGCTGTCGAAATTTCTACAAATCCAAGACGTTAGTCAACTTTTGACTTGTCAGAGTTCAAGTTATCTTTTCCATATATAGCTTAGTATAAATTTTCTAGAGGGATTGCTGCCCTAATTTTTACTAATTCAGGGAGGTAGACAAAATTGGACTTTGAGAAGTCAAAGTTATTCTCAAATTTTGGACCTCGCTTTGTATAAATTTAGGGAGAGCATTTTTCTAGAGGGAGTGCTGCCGAAATTTCTGCAAAACTGAGGAGTTAGTTAAATCATATCTAAATTGAACTCAAGTTTGTCTTGTGAGTTCAAATCAGACTTAGAACAAATCTGGGAAGTCTCCCTTTGTAAAGGGATTGCTACCCAAATTTTTACGAGATTAGGGAGTTAGATAAAATTTGACTTTCCAGGAGTAAGAGATTATTTCTGCTCTTGTATCTGGGCTTATATAAATTCTCAAAAGACACTTTTCCTACGGGAAGCGCTGCCGAAATTTTCTTAGTTTAGAGGAGATAGATTGTATTTTGACAGGTGGTGATTCAAGCGACCCGCCCAGAATAGAGGAGATTCTTTAGTTGGTCTACTTTTAGCTTAAGCATTGGCTTAAAAGTAGACTTAAGTTTAGCGTATAAGGAGATTTTGAGTGAGGATGTATTATGAAGTTGTATTCTCCATACACTTATGATCTTAGCTTGGGGATTGGTATGCCGTGTGTCACAGGTTTTTGTTTTTTTATCATTTGATTTAAGTTCAGGGCTAGACCCAGCTTAATCCCTTGAGGATCACTTTCTGTTATCACTGATAACAGGTCGGTTGCCGATTCGTCGGTCTACGAGTCAATTTCAGCTCTCCCTCCACACTCAACCTAAGAGGCTTTAGCCCTGGTGATTTCGTTGTTTTATTAAGGTTTCACCCGGACTTTTATTGAATGGTCATTTAACAAAGGTGCTGAGTATTTAATTAAGGTTGGTTGGACAGGGGGTTTAGGGCTTGCATGGCTAAAGGGAGGGGTATGAATGTCGAAGGTGGTTGGGGTTGACTCCGTGTAGTGTGTGGGCTGTTGATTTGGTTCATTGATGTTATTGCAGGTATGTGCTGTGAATCAGATTCTGGATTTGGTTGCCCACGATCACGTATATACGTATTATTGTGAGAAACCCTAGTGAGACCGTGAGAAGTGATCGTCACATACTTAACTCTTATATATGTATACATAGGTATACTTAGAATAAGTGTTTGCATGGGTTGACGGACCCCCATACTAAAACTCTACTCAGAAGTTGAGACCGAGGGGCTTAGGGGAGGTCCCTCCTTCTATTTTTTTTGTTCTTGTTTTTTGATGATTTTCTTAGTCAGACGTTTGGTCCTAGGCCTGGATATGAGTTCCTTGTCCAGAACGTCCTAAGCCCTAGGCTCTGCAGGAAAGGGTTTTTCCCTTGCGCAGAGCCTATTTGCCTTGCCTATCGAGACGCTCAGACCAAAGGTCGGGGGTCTCGCGGCGGCTGCACGACTATTCCTTCAGCCGTGCAATGTCGTGAAGGATTAGACTCTCACGACACTTCGAATCTGACACTTGAGTGTCATAAGCGGAACTCGGATCCACGAGGGACCGCTTGATTATGGGAACTACATAGTACGTCATCGTTACGACTACATGCGTACGCCTGCATTGCGGGTTGGTATGAGGTAGGCCCTCGGCTGCGCAGCTTTATATTAAAATCCCGCACGCGACGTTTTACCGCCCTAGTGTGTAAAAAGTTATGGGATTACAAAGGGACTGACACGTATGGGCGAATGTTTGAGATTGTTATAGGCCGCCAACGCCGCGCGAAAAAGGCAGGGTACCCCAGGGCTATGATTCTGTTTACTAGGCGGGGAACCTTCGGCCTATTCCTTATCTTTTGCTCTTTGGAGTTTTTATAGTTGGACGTTATAGTCTGTGGCAGCCGTCAAAGTCAAACCCCTTGATGTTTGACCGCCACGACAGCTGAAAGTTGTCTAATCAACCCCTCTACACAGGATGCAGAAAAGGGTGTGGTTTTCAACCGCGCATGACGGTTGTCCAGCGTCGAGAGATTAACCCTCAAGGCGCGTGTCAGCCAACATTTGTGTGTCGAACGCGATCCTCGTTATTAACGGGGACCGCGTGAGTATGGGTACCACATAGTACGCCTTCATTGCGACTGCTTGCGCGCATTTGCATTGCAAGTCGATATGCGATAACCCTGCGTCCGCGCGATTTTATATTAAGTCTCTTGCGCAACGCCTATCCGAATTCCACATTGGAAAGTGATGGGGCGGCTACCGGGGGGCTAGGAGCATTGTCACGTTGTTTATGTTGTGTTGTTTCGTATGTGTGTGTGAGTTTTATTTTTGTGTTCGTAAAGTGGTGTGCACGTGGTGTGTGGGATGCGTCCTAGTCGACCGACGACGAGCCGTGCTTGGGACTTCAGCCCGCCATGATGCCGGTTCGCGTGTGGGTCCGTTAGAAGCGTATTACCGCGCGTACCCCCTATGCTACAGCGAACGAGAAACGCCCTCGGCTGGTCCACCTCTGCGATTGCAACTGATTAGCTTTCGTACTGTGGACTGGTAGCTCGGCAGGGATACACCCCCCGAAGGGAGGTGACAACTCCCGTAAGGTGTAAGTAAGTCGTGCCTCGCGTAGGCCCTATCCTGTCGTAGGGGCTTGCGAGGGGTATGGCTGGCGCACTCGGCCGGAGTAGCCTAAGGAATGTCCATGTATATATTCACGACGAAGGATTTAAAACCAACTTCTGCGTGACGAGGCCGGGAGGGTCCCGCGCTGCCGCGTGAGGTGCCGGACCGATGCGCTCGATAGGTGGCGCCGTTGCTGGGGAACAACGGAAAGCCTACCGTTGTCCTTGGTGGAACGAAATCCGGGTATGAGAAATGAATGAGAAAAGGCATAAACGAAGGACGAGAAAGTGAGGAGAGATAATGAATGATTAAGTATAGGTGAGGAAATTTACCTATCTGAGTAAGGAAAGGATGAAGGGCGGACGTGTAGCATTGGGAAAAGGTACGTAGTAAGAGTTAGGTAGGACGGATGAAATAGACCAGTTAAGGTGTAATGCTGAATAAGGGGATGTGCTTGTTTTTCTTTTGTAAGGGAGCTTGAAGAGAAAGGTCTGGCAAGATGTCGCAGGGCGGCGGTGCATCGGGTGCCCCCAAGAAGGGCCTGACGCTCGATGACCTCATAGCGGCTATTGTCAGGCATGAAAGGAACCCGAGCAATATCCCTAAAGTCGATACCTTCCACTTTTGTGGGGAAAGAGTCTCGGAATGGCTGGAACGAGCGGAACAAGCTTTGGTCGGGCGGTCGGACGTGGTAAAGTTCCAACGCATTCTTCAGTATGTCCTCCACAGCTACCACCAGGAAGTGAAGAAAGTCATAGATGCGGCCCAAGGTAGTTGGATGAGGTTCAAGGAGGGGATGCAAAGGAAATACCGCCTGGGAGACGGGCTATTGACTACCGCGGACCTTGAGGCGATGAACAAAGAGGATTTTACGACGATAGGGGCTTTTGTTCAAAAATTTAAGAAGAGAGCGTGGAAGGTCCATGGGATTTCGCAGGAAGCACAGTGCATCATTTTCCTGGGGCTACTCACGACATCGGAGACCATCGAGTTGACGAGGCATGGAGGAGGTAGCACCAAGCTCACCTGGGCCACCATTGACAGAGGGGTGGAAGTTGGGTGTTTGGACCAGGTGGAGCAACGTCAGGTATGCCTGCAAAGGCAGAAGAGAAAGGAAAGAGATGCAACCGCTTCTGGGACCCCGGGAGTAACAAGGATTGTTACAGACGTATTGGCACAGCTGGGGTATGCGACAGAGCCCGTGGTGCAAAGGAGGGTAGTAACGGTTGTCCAAGTGAAAGGAAAGGAGCCGGTGATAGAGGAGGTTGTTCAGGAGGAGCTCTGGGAAGAGGAAGAGCCGGTGCCGCAGCGCCTGACGAAAGCCCAACGCAAAGTGCGGAACTTAACGCAGGGCGGACAGGGATCAGGAAAAGCGAAGACGCCTCAGGCCTTAACAGCAACCCCTTTAAATGTGGCGGCTCCATCATCTAGTACGGGCCCCTCGCAAGGAGGGGCGCCTTCCTACGGACAGTGGCCCTGGCCGGTGATCAATGCAATCGTACCATGGGGTAGCCCGCCACCGATAGCCGGACCGCAAACGAGTATGCCGCCACCCATCTACCCCGCAGCCCAGGCCCAGCCTGTGGCCCCGCCACCGTCACCCACTCCCTGTTCACAGGGAAGCGTGGCTGGAGGTGGGAACGAAGGGCAGGGCAATCAAGGCAACGGAAGGAGGGGTGGAGGAAGGGGGCGAGGCAGGAATGGCGGCGGAGGAGGAAGGCAATGAAATGGTCAAGGCCAGGGGTATCAAGGCCAGGGATACCAAGGCCAAGGGTACCAAGGTCAGGGGTATCAAGGCCAGGGGGATCGGGGAAGTCAGGGGTATGGAAGACCGCGTTTTGACTGGAGGACGGCCATCTGCAAACATTGTGACTAACAAAGCCACACTATAAGGTTCTGTAATATAAGACGGGAAGACGAGAGGAGCGGGCTGATTTCCTCCAATATGGATGAGAACATCTACGATCAGTTTGGGGAGACCATTGACAGAAGGCTTGGAGGAGTGAGGGCGGAAGCCCAACGAAGGGCGGCAGCTGGGCCGCCACCCCCTGCCATGTTCAGGCTGTGGCAGAAGAAGAAAGAACCATCGGTGGGGATAGAGGAATTCAGATTATGGCACGAAAAGGAAGAACCACCGATTGGGGTAGAGGAAGTGGGAAGCGATGAGGAAGTGACTCAAGGGCCACAAGGAGGAAGTGAGGGGGAAGAGTCCATTATCATTGAGTCAGATAAAAAAAATGAGGAAAAAAGGATGGAACCTCCGTCCGTCTTGTTAGGGAAAGTGGAGGACCTGCTGGATAAGATGCGGAGGTACGAACAGAAGTTGGTGGGCCTCTGCGAGGAAGTGAGGAAATGGAAGTCTAGCATCCCCAAGGTGTTCCTCTACGACTCCGGTCCAGAGTCAGCGCCCGAGCAACCCGGAGTAAATGTGGTGGGATCGTGCCCACCATCAGGGATGATGGGAAGACCCCTCACTCCGCAGGCCCGGCTGGCGCAGGCAGCACGAACAAGAAATCAAGCCAGCGCCAGCCAAGAACCTCCGAGGAGGGAGCAAGAGCCAGGAAAAAGAAAGGAGGCTGTGAAAGTGGAGGATGACGATGATGAAGAGGAAGAAGACGAGAGGCTGCACCAAGAAGAGGATCAGAGAGCGGAGCAGCGGGCGAGGAAAAAGGGAGCCAGGGGAGAGGTCGGGCCGGTCATACGTGACGGACCGCCCAAAAGGAAGAAATACGCGGTCCGGTTGGAAGAGGGATTTGACGTAGAGAAGGTGATTGACCGGCTGCTGGAAGGGCATAATGACCTCATGACCCTGAAGGAAATCCTAGCGTCGGCCCCTCGACTCCGCGATGAACTGAAGGGGAGGTTGTCGCGGCGCTTGGTTCCCAACGTCCATCTGGGCACGATTCTGCCTAAAGAGGCAGAGTGGGCGGAGTCAGGCACAAAGATGGATTGGAATTGCGTGGCCTGCGGCACGGTGGATTTAGTGGTAAAAGGCTCCAAGTGTGCAGCAATGGTGGACACCGGGGCGGAAATGAAGATCATCCGGGAGGCGGACGCGATCAGATTCGGGCTGGATATAGACCGTTCTGACTGCGGTATTCTGCACAGAGCCAGTTGCAAGGCCGTATTTTGTAGGATAGCCTCAAATGTACTCATCGATGTTGGAAAGGTGAAGGCACGGGCTTGCTTCTTCATCATGCCGGACGTGGATCACGGAATCCTCCTAGGGAGGTCATTCCTAAGTAGGACGGAGACCGTGATATTCAATAAGCATGACGGGACGTTAGTCCTCCTCTTATGCGACCCTGTCTGCGGGAATTACGAAGTAATTACCTGCAGAAACACAGGGCCAAGGAGCATAAGGAACCGGCCCAATCCAGGATCGTTCACGATCGAAGAGTCGGAAGGTGAGCCCCGGAGGCTTCGGGCAGAGCCCTAAGCAGGAGAGAGGGTGGAAGCATTTTCTCTCAGCCTGTCTGATGTTGGGAAGGCCATGGACTTGGTGGCCGCGCATGAGATGACAGATCCAGATGCCATCCAGGCTCTAAGAGAGCAGGTTCTGGAATGCCCCGAGGCAGGAAGGTTGGAGCTGGTATATCGACTCCCGGACAGCGGAAGGAACCCCGCATCAGCTCAAGCATAATCTGTGAGTCAGCCTTTTTTAGGGGACAATTCAAGCAGGGTTCCCAAAGGCGGTACAAGACGGTAGACAAGAAGTGTCGCCCAGTTCCCGTCCTCGTTACAGAAGATGAGGAAGCATACTACGAGAGAGAACGAGGGTTGATACGGCGAATGAGGGAGAGTGCTCTAGCAGGGCCATGTCGTATCAACGAAGGGAACGAGGGGAAGTTGATTATAGGGGAACCTGACTTCCTACTACCTCAGGAGCGAATGATGATGGTGGAGTTGATGAAGAGGAGGCATCGCGCCTATGCGTTCAGTGACGAGGAGCATGGCAGGATGAATGTGGACAAGATACCTATGATCCGCATCCATACCATGCCACACGAGCCTTGGAATATGAGAGGGACGCGATATCCCAATACTGACGAGGAAAAGAAGGTGGTGGATTACCTCGACGGCAAAATATATACGCATGTCGCCGACTATTCGAGTGGACTGTATGCTTCCCCGTGGTTCTGCTTTATCAAGCCTAACGGGACGCTGCGTTGGGTGCAAGATTTGCAAAGACTGAATGCGGTGACCGTGCGGGATGCTGGAGGGTTGCCCAATGCAGACGCGCTGTCAGAATCCTGTGCTGGAAGGCCTATAATCTCACTTATAGACCTTTACTCAGGATACGATCAATTCCCAGTCTACCCGCCGGACAGGCCTGTGACGGCTATGCACACGCCGCGAGGGCTAATCCACATGAACGTGGCCCCACAAGGGTGAACCAATGCGGTAGCAATGGTCCAACGAGCCATGATTCGGGCTATGCAGTCAGTCAGCCCCCATATTACACAGCCATACATCTACGATTTGGAAGTGAAGGGGACGACGGTGAAAGAGAGCGACGAAGTCTCGCCAGGGGTAAGGCGCTTTGTCTGGAAGCACATCCAGGACCTCGAAAAGGTCCTGGGCCTGCTCGAGGAGCATAACCTCACGGCGAGCAGGGTCAAATCCAGACACTTTATGAGGGAAGCGACTATCTTGGGGTTCGTCTGCAGCGAGAAGGGCCGAAGGCCGGATGTGAAGAAGACGGACAAGATTACTGAGTGGCCAGTTTCGTTCCGCTCAATAGCTGATGTCAGGAGTTTCCTTGGTACATGTGGATTTTGGAGGGCCTTCGTCAAAAACTTTGGCGCTAAGACTGAATACCTGAGGAAGTTAGTCCGTCAGGATCAGGAATGGGTATGGGCTCAAGAACAAGAAGAGGTGGTGGCTAGGATGAAGGAGGAATTTCGAGAAGGAGGGTTGGTGCTAGGAGCGTCAGATTATGATGCCACGGAAACACGACCCTTCATTGTCGAAACAGATGTGGGACCAACTGCCTTAAGGGGAGTTCTAATTCAGGCAGACATGGAAGGAAAGGAAAGACCCTTGCGATTTGAGAGTCGGACTCTCTGTACGACAGAGAGGAACTTCTCTCTGTTCAAAAGGGAGACCCTTGCATTCCTCCACTGTCTGCGGATCTTCCGGAACTACATCTTCGGCATGAGGTTTATTTTGAGAGTGGATCCAACCGCCCTGGCCTACTCTCTCAGGAATTACATTCCATCGGATCCGGCGGTTACCAGATGGCTGACGTACATCTGGATGTTCAATTTCGAATTGGAACGGATTCCTGGCAGTAAGAACCGGGCGGATGGGCTGAGTCGGATCAACTGGGATAAACAGGAAGGGGAGGTGGTGGAGAACACGCCACCAGTTGATGGATTTCTGGATCAGGAAGAAGATGTTCGTCTCCACATCAATAAGTGGTCGCCGCGAGTGCCTAGCTGTGTAGGCTATCCCATCTGGCAAGCACCGAATGGGTATGAAAGGAGGGCCGAGCTAGTCCTCAAACCCTTTGAAGAAGAGGATCCCTGGGGTAGTAAGGATGTTCAGTGGATGATGGAGTTAGCGCTGGCCAGCTCGCATAGCCTGGTGGAGGACGTGAGGATGATTGAGGAAGGGTCTGGCCAGGTACAACGGCATGAGGAGCTGATGGGAGGAATGCATCTCGTCGTCAACACGTTATTGCAGGAAGGCCTCGACCAGTCAGGCTCGTTGAACCCGGCAGGGAATGTGGACGAAGTGCCCGAGAGCCAGGACGACGAGTTTGAGGAGGGGGAGATTAAGGAGACTTTTCGTGCTGAGGAGTACGATCGGATCTACCTAGAGCTGGGGCTTCTTCTGTCATGTGAAATGCGGCTTAGGGATGCAAGCGATAGAGCTCAGAGGATGCTGCAGCGCTATTTAGTGCGAGACGGCTACCTTTTCGTGAGAAGAGAAGTGGGGAATCCCAGGAGAGTCGTCTGCGGTAGGAATCGTCAGATCGAAGTCGTAGCAGCGCTTCATGATGGCATTGCAGGAGGGCATCGAGGGGTACAAGCCACGTATGCCAAGATAAGTGAGTTGTACTACTGGGATGGGATGATGGATATGGTCGGGAAGTTCTGCCGATCTTGCGTACCCTGCTAAGAGAGATCTCGTTTAAGGCAAGGAGAGTCGCTGCATCCAAGGCTAGAGCGAGAGGTGGGGGCTGCAGTACATCTCGATCTACTGTTTATGCCGCTTGGGGATCAGGGCTATAACTATATCTTCGATGCGCGCGATAACCTGTCTGGCTTCGTAGCCGGGCGTATTATTCGCACAAAGATCGGGTTAGTCCTGGTGAGTTGCATCGAAGATTACTATCTGCGCTATCCTTTCGTCAGGGAATTCGTAATGGACAGGGGATCGGAGTTTACCTGCCAGGAGGTGCAAGAATTGTTATCAAGGTATGGTGTAGCAGCCAACTACACCACGACCGCGCACCCCCAGGCAAATGCTCCCGTGGAGAGAGGACATAGTACCATTACGAGTCTCCTGGCTAAGTGGACCGAAGGTAGGCCTTATCAATGGCCAAGATACCTAAGGGCGACGTTCTTTGTCGAGAACATTACAGTAAAAAGATCCACCAAATATGCACCGGCGACACTATAATATGGAAGGCACGCCACCTTCCCTATCGAGAGCTTTCTTAAGACATGGAGGCGCCAAGATCTGGAAGTTAATCTGTCATTTGAAGAGTTGCTCGATATTCGGACGCGGCATATAGGGGCGATAGAAGAAAGGATCCAGGAGGCGTCTGATCAGGTGGCGAGAAGCCGTATGGATGATAAGGCTTGATGGGATCAGTCCGCGCGGGTGAGGAAAGTACCCTTGGCAGTTGGGGATGTCGTGTTTCTCTACGATTCATCGCTAGAAAAGCAGTGGTCCAGGAAACTCGATAAGAGGTGGTTAGGTCCCTACCGGATCGTACGGGTTAGAGACTTCGGAGCATACCAGATTGAAGAGCTAAATGAGACTGAGTGGAAGGATTGGGTATCTGGAACGCGACTGAATAAATTTGTGGCGAGAGAAGAGGTAAGAGAGATGACATTACTGCCTTTAGAATAGAAGTAGCAGGGTGTGTAGGTTAGGTAGGATGCATGTTGTATCAGTGTGGTCTGGTCTGAGCTTGCTTTGATTATCACTTGTTTGCTTACCCCAATGTGTGCCTGTTGTCTCCTTCGCTTGTTGTGCAGGTCTGACTTTACGAAGACAGCCATGCCAAGATGAGGGAAGGGGACACGGCCGCCTCAGAGGCCGTTGGGCGCATCAGGAGGATATGAGCGGCATGGGCCTCGCCATCGAGAGAGTACTCCGGTGTACGATGATGGGGACATCGAGCTATTCCTGGACAGCTTTTGGGATCATGCGAGGCGTATGGGCTGGACCGTCGCTCAGGCGATTGAGAGATTGAGGGGAGCAGGTAGGTTCGAGGAGCCCATTGCCAGGATTCGTAGGGAGGCGATGACGAGGCAGGAGGTGGAGACGAGGATGCAGGAGATGCGACCTTCGCCTGTGGGACCAGATGGCAGACCAATCCGGCTAGAAATCGAAAATGCGGCAGATTTTATTCCTGCCTTCGAGTGGTTCATGTAGGGGCAGGGTATACCGAGAGATGAGTGGGCGAGGACGTTACCCCTCTGGACCAGAAAGGCGAAGAGGGCACTGGGTACGCAGGTCAGAGACATGGCCCGGGACTGGGAGAGCTGCAGGGCACATCTGAGAGAGGTCTTTCGACGACCAGAGCCCCCTCATCCCAGAGTCGAGAGGCGTCAGAGGAGTCAGAGGCAGAGGGACCCTGAGCCCAGGGAGGCGAGACCGTCTCGAGGAGGACGGAAGGCCCTAGCTAGGAGAGAGGAGGAACCAGAGCCAGAGGCTGAGGAGCGAGGCGCGTACCCTGAGTGTGGGTTGGGACAAGTGGAGTTCCATCGGTTTGCCGAAGGTAAATTGAGGAGGTCGTCAGCACGCACACAGCATGGGCCGCCAGCGTCTGAGGAGTCCTTGAGGGAATTGGAGGCGCATTTGGATATCTCTCAGTGGAGAGCGTCGCCTCGGGGCGAGGAGCATGGAGAGCAGGCAGAGAAGGTACCACGAGAGGAGGTGTCATGAGAGGAGGTGCCACAGGAGAAGGTGCCACGAGAGGAGGTGCCACGGAAAAAGGTCCAGGATACTCAGCGAGAGAGAGGGATGGGCGATGAGGGGAGACGTGCAGGGAAGGAAGTGATAGAGGTTGGAGAGGACACACCCCCACAGACGCCAGCGGTGGATTTGAGACTCGGGGATGTACCAGGGAGCACTCGCCATGCGGGGGAGAGATTGCAGAGAGAGGAGCCCCCATTACCTTCATCAGGAAAGGCTCATTTGCCAGAAGGGATAGAAGAAAGGAGGAGAGAGAGGGCAGCTGTAAGGAAAGAGGCCTTGACCCTGATTAACAGACATCTAGCAGCTTATGCCTTGGAGCACCCAGACCTGGAGGAGCCAACACCTGTAGAGCCGCGCCAGGAGCCGTGCCGGCCCGAGAAGGAGATGGAAGCAGAGATCCCAAAATGGTCGACCTCCGCATGAGGGAAAGGGCGTCGGCTAGAGAGACGGCTGAAGAAAAGAGGGCGAGAAAAACCAGATGGATAGATAAGATATGGCAAGAGAGGCAGAGGTTGGAGGCAGCGGGGGAGCTTCCAGAGCAGCAGCAGGAGAGGCAGAGATCGGAGGCAGCAGGAGCACTCCCAGGTCAGCCACCCAGCACGCCTGCTAGGGCCCCGGAGATCCCTGAGATGTGGAGGGACTTCTGGGAGCAGAGAGGAGAGGAGCTTCCTTTGCCAGTCAGAGCCGGGTTTGGGGTGGCCAGGAAGGCGGAAGAGAGGTTAGATCGCAAAATCAAGTTCCTGGCCAAGACAACTTTTGACCGGCACTTGTTATTGGAGAGCGATCTGGCAGGGAAGAAGATGAAGGAAGCAAGCCATGGAGTACGCCTCGAAGCTATGGAGATTGAAATCCAGGAACTCAGGGCATTGGTAGCCAGCCAGGCAGCTATCATTGAGAGCTTGAGGCAGCAAACCCAAGGAAAGGTGGACAAGCCAGAGAGCAACAGGCAGGGAGAGCAGAGGTAGCCAAGACGTGGGTTACGGGGACAGCCATCTGCAGCAGAGCCTCGCCAGGAGCCACCTATGGGGAGAGTTATCCTGGAGCCAGAGGTGGCAAGAGCTCAGAGACAGGCGGAGAGAGAGGCGTTCAAGTTCAAAGCCCCTACCGAGTTCGCGACGCTGCCAGTAGCAGCGGCGGGCCCAGTCGTACCTTTGGCAGTTGAGGAGGGGCTACCACCATCTAGCAGTGAGCCGACTCAGGGCTCAGCAGAAGGATCCATGGGCGTGCTCCTTGAGGCGGTGCATACTATGCAGGAGGAGGTGAGTTTGTTTTCACCTGAGCAGAGGATAAAGGAGCCTCTTGGGAGAGAGATGGGGATTGAGGCGGAGGGTGCCATCGAGGGCGGGCTCCAGAGGTTGGGCACACCTGAGTATGGACCAGAGGAGGAGCAGCCCATGGCAGTGCCAGGAAAGACACTCGAGAGGAGACCTCAGAGGTTGGACACGCCTGAGTACGTCCCAGCGACAGGGGATTTGAGGAGCAGGCTGGGATCTTGGGCTACTGGATCTGGGTCTGGGGGACCGGTTCCTGGGACAGCGCCGCAGGAGGTCGCTAGTACCGCAGCTCCTCGATCAGAGCAGCAGGGGGTTGTCAGTACCTCGGTAGGATCTCCTTCATCGCCACCCCCTCAGCCCAGGAAGAAGAAGTTCAAGAGGAAGAGTGATCAGCTATGCTTCTACTGCAAGAGGGACGTGCATCTGGCTCTGGACTGTCTCGAGTTTCTTGAGGATAAGGCAGCAGGGAAGATCTCAGAGGTAGGGGGTAAAATGTATGATAGACAGGGTAGGATAGTAGAGAAGTCCGCAGATGGACTTAGGGCTCAGTTATATAGGCAAAACCACGAGGAGTTGAGGAGGTAGGGCCGGTTTGTCTATGTAGGTGGGCGAGTATCTTGTGAGGCATCAGCTTAGGTTCTGTGTGATACCCTCTTAGACTTAGAGGACCTTTTTTTTTATGATTGCTACTAGTCTAGATCTGAACTCTAGTGTTCCTACTGAGCTAGAGACTTAAGGATCATGGTGATCTAGATAAGGCATGTACATATTTAGGTGGCCTACGCCCTGGCTTTGAGGGACAAATCTGACATGTATTTTAGGGATAATTACCAGCGTGAGTTTGGTGTGGCTTGAGTTGACTGAGCTATGATTTGAAGACTTTTTCTGTGTGAGACATTTTATTTCCCTGAGTGTATATTATGATGAGATTTTTTTCAGGGACCATTCTTATATGTGATGATCACTTGTCTCTCTCACATGTGTGGTTATGCTCTGATGTATGATGAATTTGTGTGAAGAATGTGTGAAAAACCTTTTATGTGTCATGGGTACTGTGAATATGATTGTAAGCAAAATTGTCTACTCCTCGGTATACTTGTGCGACCTGCCCACGGGCAGCTGATAAAGCAGAGTATAAGGGGAGGAAGTGCAGTCCGTCTGTGAAAGGTTGTGAGAATTTTGAAGATTTATGAGCCGTGGAGGATCAAAAAGCTTACCATGTTGATTATTGATTGCTTAAGTAGTGACGAGAACCCATAAGATGGTCTTTCAGTGATGTTTTGTTTTATGATGAGAGCCCCTTGGATTTTTGAAAAAGAGGATGTTTTGTGATGTTGTGTGTTATGATGAGACCCCCTCGAGTTTTGAGAAGGGGAAGTTTGGTTTTTATAGCGAGACCCCTCGTGATTTTTGGAAGAGGGGGTGTTTTGTTTATCATGAGAGCCCCTTGGATTTTTGAAAAAGGGGAATGGTTTATGGTTGGAAGACTCACCCTCAGAAGTGAGTAAATTGATTTATGGCATGTCGAGTTGTCTGATGGGTGATAAAGTCTGAGGGAAAGGGTCACTTTTGTTTGGAATGTTTGAGAAAGTCGCAATGAGTATAGGACGAGAGACGTCTCAGGACGGGTGGCTGCTGGCTCTGATAAAGTCAAGAGTCACGGCCTGGTGGACCTAGCGGTGATTTTGTTTGTGAGCGTGCGAAGGATGTCATGCCTATTGTGGAAGGGCTGGTAAATGCCTTCGGACCCCTACGTATCGCGCAATGGGTCTGTGATTTAGTTTTGCGACGCCCCGTCTAACCACCGATGCTAATTTTGAGGGATATTGAAGAAAGTCCAAGCTAACGGAAAAGAAGTTAGTACCTCTAGGGCATAACCCCATTGGATGGCTGCTAACCGGCGCAACCAGGCTGCGGGACCATGTGGGTAAGAGTTTAAGGGGAGTTGCCCGCCCCAGTGAAATTACTCCGCGGGATAGTGATGGTAGATAATTTTTTTGGAAAAAAAAAATAAAAAAAAAATTCTGATTGAATGCTTATCAGGAGAAAACCTATCGTTGCGTAACCAACGAGGGTACTGTTGCTAAATAACAATGCGGTGGGTCGTGGTCCTGGTCCGATCAGCCAGGCTATGGTGGGCCAAGGTGAAGACCTAGCCTTTCTGTACTAGACTGCAGAAAGAGCTGAGCGAATATTAAGTATACATATATACTTATGTGTATTTGATTGCGAGAGATTTTTGAGAAGGAAGGTGAGAGTGCCTTCAAAGGTCTCGATTAAGGCCCGCGTCTCTAGTTTTTGCCAGGACTAGGGACACCCAACGAGAAGCCGAAGGTTGTCTAGGACCTGGGAGAGGACGATTGGGAAGGTCTCTGGAACTTATGCGGTCAGCGTCCTAATTTCTGGGCGGTAAGAGACCTAGGTTAGAAACCTGGCAGCATATAGTTGTGGAGACATGTTTTCATGAAGGTCTCTACCCTGTGTTTGTCGACAAATCGGATTTGGCTCCGTTTTTCGTCAGCATTTGGAATGTGGTGGATTTATAGCTTTCTGATTTGGCGAAGCGACGGGGACATCGCTTAATATGGTCAGGTAAGTTGTCGGCGCGAATACCCTTACAAGGGTATCCGCCCTGTTTTTTGCAGATGACAGAGAATAAGTTTAGTTTGGTTTAAGTGTACTGCACGAGTTGCGGCAGTGTCTGCCGTGTACATTCACTGAATGGTTGATTAGAATGGAGAGTGTGTGGGCGTGCAGATTTGAGGCGCGCGTGATTCTATTCTTTGATGGTTGAAAAGCCGGCGTGGCCGACGGTTAGATTTTTAATTACTTGTTTATTAATAATTGATGAACTAAGGTTAACAGGGTGTTTTCTGTAAGATTGGTACGTTCGATCGGGATATGCGCACGCTCGTGCGGAGGGCGGCCTCAACAGCGGTGAGGACCCTACATAATGAACAAGGTGCGCGACATCGACGGTTCGGTAGGGCCGTCCCTCTTGATTTTCACATCGGCGGCATCGGGACGGAGCCAACGGTTATTTTTCAGAGTTTTTATTATTATTGTTTTGTGGTCTTTTATATTTGGCCTTATGATTTGACCTTTCGTAGGTAGGGAATGACACCGGCCACGAATGCCCCCCACGATAGTTGAGGACCTGGAGCGCGCGCCTCTTTTGGTTGATCTGGGGTTTCATTGGAATGCCGATGGAGTTTCCTCGACCTCCTCCGTTTTGAAAGCCCGGACTGAGGAGTGGGACGTGCATGCAAGCCGGTGGGTGGCCAGCCGACGAGGCGGGGCAAACCAGAGTGGCAGGGGTCGCCGCGGGTACCCCTTCTGTCAACCGCGAGCTAGTGTGAGTGGTGCCCGGGCGGGGTGACCTAGGGCACCAAGCGTGAGCCGGGGGTGGTACGGTATACGCAGGGGCTCTACTTTTTTTTTACTTCGGTCTTCAAAGTTCTCATTAAAAACTTTTGCTACTACCACTAAGATTCGCGCAGGGGACGGCCTCGCAAACAACCGGGCACAGCGGGGAAAGACTAATTGAACGGTCCAGTAGCCGGTCCCCTTTGAAGTTTTCCATAGGGCAGTCCCGCTGCTCGGTTGTGGGACCGAGCATTGCGGCCGGGGGAAACGTAGGGAGGAGCTCGCAGCGTTACAGATCGGGCAGTGGGCGCCTGGGCGATCAACCATTAGGACTTCGGTATAGGAGCAAAAGACTGCTCAGACCGTTAGCAGTCGGCCCCACCGAAGGTTTCTTTCAGCCGGCTGGAGTCATCGAGGAGGCCGTAGTGGTGAGGTGCTGTCGGGGCCGGAGGTGGAGACGAGGAACCCGAGCGTAGCGGGAGAGTGGGCGGCTGGTACAGGGACAGAAAGGCAAAGGGCTGAAAGAAAGAGGAAAGGGGGATGAATCGGGGCGCGGAACAGCGTCTGGTGCATTTAGACTTGAGTGAGAAGGAAGATGGAGTGAGGCAGACAGCGGGGCGGCACACAGCGCAGCAGAGCAGGGCGCCGCGGAGCAAGGTTGAACGTGGCACAGGAGGGAAAGCGGGTGGTGAGTGAACCCGGGCGGGCGGAGGTGTCAGATGCGTGCGGGACGAGGATGGGCAATGGTGAGAGGCAGGCGGGGTGGAAGGGAGATGGCTCGCCCGTTTCTCAACGAGAACGGGCGGGGGAAGATGTTAGTCAGACGTTTTAAGGAAGGGCGAATTCGATTTTGTTGTTAGTTTTAGGATTAGTGGAGTAGGTCGGGAGTTAGATACAAAAGTCAGTGCGTGGAGTTATGGCGGTAGAGAGAAAGGTGGGGTAGAAAAGCAGATAGACTGCCTTATTCTCGTCGGGGTCAGGCAAATCGATAGTCGTTTTCGTGCTTATGGGACAGGGCGATTTCAATAGGGAAGTTAGTTTTGGGAGCAATAGAGTAGAATTGGGGGTTAGTAAAAAATCTACTGCGCGGGGCTATGGCGGACAGTGAAGATAGCAAAGGAGGAAATGAGTAACCCGCTCGTTTCTTGACGAAAACGAGCGGGGGAAGATGCGAAATTGGGGTTTGGGAATAAGACGAATTGAATGGTAGTGTTAGATTTAGAGTTTAGTAGTTAGTTTTAAAGATTGTTAGTAGAGGAGCTGCGCCAGGAGGAGGCTGTGAAAAATGGGAATGAACCTGCCCGCGTTTAGCAGGAGATTCATTCGCTTCTTCCTAGGAGCATTGCAGGCAGGGATTGGGAAGGAAAGCTTACGTGGGAGTCGGGGCCATGCCTAGCCCTACCTAGGGATCGCGAGTCGGAGTACCTCCGTGAGCGCGGACAGACATAAACGGCAGGAGAGTGAGGAGAGATTGACTGACCTTCTTCGGGAAAGTGTAAGCAGAAGGAGGCCGCAACAGCAGCGGCTGCGCGTATCTGCCTGTGTCCACGGTTAGATTCAATCTTGTCCTGCCACTATAATGGGCAGACGCGGGGACCCAGCAATTACTGATAAGGGGGGACAACTCACTGCTGGAAAACGGGCTTTGTGGGGTAGCCTCAAGGTGATTGGATTTGCCTGTTTGCCAGCGTGTTGTTGTGTATCTCGGTGACCCGCCCTGTGCATTGTAGTGAGTTTAGCTTATGTATTCTGAATCTGTGCTTAATACTGCTTATGTATCTGCAGCAAGGGTTAGCCTGTGTCTTACGGTAAGGTACGGACTGTGCGTTTGTTGATGGTTGTTGCACAGTTGCAACATGTTGCGTGGAGCCGATGCCGAGGAGACTACATGGCATTGCGTGCTGATGCTTGAGGTTTGGAGCAGCGCACAAGTATCACGCGCACTGCTTTTGATTGGGCTTTGTCGTGTCCTTACTCTCGCTTTAAGAAGAGTCAAAAGTGGAGGGGCTTTATTCAAAAGTACTTCGTTTCTTTTAAGGTGGCGAACTGGGGGTTTTGGTTAGGCGTAGAGGTACTATGACTAAGGAGGATAGGGCGTCTCAAGCCACAAGTATGGCAGGGTGTTGCTACGACTCTGAGGAGTCGCCAGAGAGTCAACCGTTGCTGGTTTGACTTCTGGTTTGACCAAGCTGTTACAGTTTGGCCATCATTGCGGGGCCCTTAGGCGAGCCAAGATAACAAGACCGTCTCCCGCGAGTCTGAGTGTAACTCTC